GGGGGGGGGGAAATTAAATCCTTTAAAGGGTTCTTAGTCTGGCTTAGATGAAAAATGATGCTAAACAGCCCTTTGTGAATGATCTAAATGGTATCTGACTGAGCTGTCCATTGTTCTTGAGCGTAGACTCAGGCTTTGTGGGAGATCTGTCATCCTGTTGCATCTAATTGTATTTTTCATCTATGCAGGATAGCAAAATCAGCACCAGCATGCCAGTCCTGGATCTCATTGATGCCATTCAACCAGGATCAATCAAATATGACCTCTTGAAAACAGAGGACCTGAAAGATGAGGAGAAACTAAATAATGCTAAGTACGTTTCTGCCAAGTGACACTTACATGAGTTACCTGCTCTGTCTTTGAAAACTGCTCTGCTATCATTCTCATTTGGCACAACCTCAGCTAATACCTCCAGAGTTAGAAGCATGAAGGCTAGGAGTTAGGCAGTAAAAAAGACTATCAATGGAAATGAAGTGTGTAATGTTATATATAATTTCTGCTTTATAATTCCCTTGAAGGGATCAAAGTCACTTGGCTTCACAAACTCCTATTTTCTCTTATTAAATTTAAAACTCTTTCAGAGATCAGGGAACAACGCCAACAATAGTGAGCCATGGAAACCAGTGATTAGAGGTCAGGATACCTCTTTAGTCACATACAGATGGAACAAGGGCATATTTAAGAGAGAAGGGGGAGGACAGGATTCATGTCTGAAAAACTGGGTTTTTGGATATGGATATTGATTTTTTTCTCCTGAGTGCAAACCCAGCAGAGAGCCAATCCTGGGGACTTCTCCCTTTCCTTTCCGAGTTATACAGATCACCTCCCAGGCTGGTCATCAGTTTAGCTTCTCCTTTACTATGTGGCAACCACAGTCAGAGTTGTCATCATTTTTATGAAGACCACTGTTCTTTTTCCTTTCCATTTCCTACCATCTGTTCTCTTTCTTTCCTTGCAATCCCACATGTGCTTCTATCCATACTTAATTTCTTCATCCCTCTGCTGATGTTTTCCTCTTCCCCTTCCCCCTGTTGCCCCAACCCCCTTTTCTCTGCATTTTGGTGAGAATTTCACAAATGTATGTACTCTGCAGTGGGAAGAACCTTGATTTTCTAGCTTTTTTTCATTAAAAAATAGAACAGCCAGTAGCAACGCAACAGTGCATTTTGAACAGGGAGATGGGAAGGTCATCTTGCAAATTCTGGGTGTGAATCAGGCAGAAGAGAAGTCCCTGAATGCTGATTTCCGACAGCACCTATCTCCACCAGCATCAGTCTTCTGCTTTCCGTCCTTATTTATGTGCAAAGACTGAGTCACAGAGATTGAGCGGGAACAAGGCCAGAATGGCTAGTTGTGAGGATAATCTTTCAAGGGATGGGAAACTAAATATTTCATACAAGAATCTGACCTGCAGTTTCCCATGCTGCAGATAATCAGTGTTCTAACCATCTGGGAATACATTCTACCTTTTACTAGAAATGCAGTTCTCTGTGAAGCTCATACATTCCCTATAGGATATTGATGAATCAATAAGTAAGTTCCCAACTCACTCTGGTATTAATCATGTAAAAAACTTCTTAACAGAGGGAAAATTAATGCTACTGCACTGATTTGTTTGTTTGCTTGTTTGTTTGACCTCTGCAATACAGGTATGCTATCTCTATGGCAAGAAAAATTGGAGCAAGAGTCTATGCCCTTCCAGAAGACCTGGTTGAAGTGAAACCCAAAATGGTCATGACAGTGTTTGCTTGTCTTATGGGAAAAGGCATGAAGAAAGTTTAAAGCACAAAATACTTGTACTGATGCCTGGTATTCACCCTTTTGATTCCCTCAAACTGGATGCTTTTCTCCATATCAAGGAATATGCAGGGTGCTCATGCTTTAAAGGCATGAATGTTAACACGGTTCCAGATCATACTAAAGTTGTGTATCCACATGTATCCAGGAAATGTTTTCCTTTGAACAGTAATATGTGCTTGACTTTTTTTCTTTTTTGGCCTTATTTTCCATTTTGCTAGATATAACTATTTCATATTCCTGAATAAGTTTTCATACTTTTACTAATGGATACCAGGGTATTCTGTCAGAGTTCACCTGGAGATCTTCATCTTGGGAGATAAAGACAGCTTTTAGGATTATGAAATGTTATATACTGCTTCTGCCTGAAAATGTCTTCATGCTTTTGGTAGCATTTCTGCCATACTTCCCTTCGGTTTGCACCTGGGATAACAAAAGGGTATCCCTAAGCCAATGCAAGTACTAGTGACTGTATTTTTTGAATGGTAGGATCCTCTTAGGAAATTCTTGTGGAAAGAGAGAAGTGTCTGGGGTTTGCAATGTGTTGCTGGTATGTGAACAGAACAGTATTTTTCCCTGCAAGTCACACCTCTGCTGTCAGAGGCATTACTCACAGAGTACATTACTACTCACTGAAAAAATATATTGTAACCTGGTCCTCCAGGAACATCCAAACTCTGGAACCTTTGCAGGGAATGCTCTCCAACGGATAATTCATTTGTGTATCATAATACACTTAAAACATAAGCAGATTGCAAAGCATGATAGAAATGAAAGCCATGTTAAAGAAACTAAGGGGATACACTCAGTTGGTAGCAATACGATAAGAAGCGAACCAAAGGAACACAGAGTGACATACTTGTGTAGCAAATACAAATTAAACTCTGATAACTTCACAGACTTGCACTCCAAGGGCTGTGGCCTGGATTCAGGTGAGCCACTTAAAACTGTGCTTGCATATGAAACATATATTAAAATGCTTCCCTGAACCTAGGCTGGGATCCTCAAGAGAGCTAAATCAGCATTGCTTTGCAGCTAACAAGGCACTGTCAATTTGCCTCAGTTGAGGACCTAGCCCTGTCTATGGATAGTCAGTGGGATATATTTGCACTGAATTTCTTCCTTGGCATGATTTGTTTACTGTTCTCGCCTTTATGTGGATTTTACTGTTGTGAAATGCAGGAGGGAATTTTGCCTTAATGCAATCCCACTGATGCAGTCTCAGTTCCCTCCCTCTCTCCTTCCCTCCCCTCCAGCCCCTCCAGAATTGCCTTAATAAAGAATCAATATTCAATGACGTGAGAAGTCTCTCCAAATAAAATGTTCTATAAAGCCAAATGTCTAGTCTTTGCTTTTAGTAATGCATGTGCTAATGGGGAAGAGTGTGTTATAGAGCTGAAATAGGGACAGATTTAAAAAACCCAAACAATTGTGGGCTCACTAAGGACGTGTCCTCCACATTGTTACACTGCGGATGGCTGAAAGCAGGAAGAATTATTTCCAAGGTAATTTCTGAACATGCCACTCTGAGACACTGCCAAAGATGGGACTCTGTGCTGGCTGGACCTGCAGCCTGACCCAGTATGACTTTCCCCATTCAGTACAATACCTGTCATTGGCTTCCTTTGCTCATATACCCACAAACTTTGGCTCATTTAGCATTCTGCAGTGCAAACAATACTACTTTGTTTCTGTACTGATGTTCAGATCCTGCTCCTGGTCAGATCTGGCCACCCTGTTCCTCTCACAAACCTATGTATTTAATACAGAGTGGGAAACGTGCAGTGTCCTAAGACCCATTTCATCTGGTCACAGTATTTCCCAGTGCTGGCAGAGGAGGAGAACATCTCTAGTGTTACACAATGGAGACGTCACCCCAGGTTATTATTACCCAGCAAGGGGGAGTTACCAGAGCATTACCCCTATGCTGCTGCTCTTCTTCCCAGGCATAGGACCCACTGTTGCTATTCAAGAGCGGTGGGCACTGAAAAGGTGTCTGTTCTTCCCTTATGTTGATTTACTTGAGAGTCCTGCAGAGGTAAACTAGAGAGAGGAAACTGCAGACCACA